AGCATCAAGTAAGTGCTTTTCACTATATCCTGCGGCCCTGAATTCCTTAGGCTAGTGACATGTTGATGCAGGGGATCTCAGCAGTGCCAAATTAAACCCTGTGGAGGCCCCTAGGCAGTCGATTATCTTGGGGCCCCGCTCACAAATTATCTGGAGTTGGCAGGAATAATAATAATAATAATAATAATAATAATAATAATAATTTATTATTTGTACCCCGCCCATCTGGCTGGGTTTCCCCAGCCACTCTGGGCGGCTTCCACAGAGACCAAAAATACACTAAAATGTCACACATTAAAAACTTCCCTGAACAGGGCTGCCTTAAGATGTCTTCTGAATGTCACATAGTTGTTTATCGCTTTGACATCTGATGGGAGGGCGTTCCACAGGGCGGGTGCCACTACCGAGAAGGCCCTCTGCCTGGTTCCCTTCTCGCAATGAGGGAACCGCCAGAAGGCCCTCGGCGCTGGACCTCAGCGTCCGGGCAGAACGATTGGGGTGGAGACGCTCCTTCAGGTATACGACAAGCTTCATGAGGTCTCTTGTGTGCATAACATTGAACTAAGAAAGCTTGATTGCAATTTTCTTTCAAGATCAAATCAATATTATTCTGTTCATTTGGTAATCCGGCACTGGATCTCAGTGGTATGTGAACAGGGGACTGAGTTCCAGCAGTTTGCAGCACCTTATTTTATATATGTTTCAAGAAAAGCAGGGATACTCAAAAGCATGGCTTGAAATTTCATCCTCTAAGACTTACAGTGATGACGATAATTATGATCACAATAATTATACAGGTAGGAGTCTGCTGTGATCTGATAACATTAGCATTGCATGAAAGCATGCTCAGCATGCAGATTATTTACCTGCAACGAGTTACTGTGCTGTAATTTTCATGAAAGAAAGGGAGAGAAGAAGAAAACAAAACCTACCCCCCCCATATCAAAAGGTCTCTCTCGCTTCATGTGTGATTAGTAATATTCACATGATTTTCTTAGACACTGATTAGGAGTTTGTCAGCCAATCCTACAGCCATATATCTTGTGCAGTATTGGTTTGTTTAATCAAGGTTGCAAAATTAGGAGAAATTCCTACGGCAAGATCCACTGAGATGAGCAGTTTAGGATTCTTCTAATCTTCAGCACCAAATGTGGCTCAGCCAAAGATATGCTTGTGAAATTTGCTCATCCTGGCTCAGCCATCTGTGCCAAAGTTGGCTGAATTGATGGTATTCTGGGGGTGTGGGCAGACACCAGACCAGTGTGGGAATATTTTGTCTGGATCCTAAGCCTGTTCAGCCTAGTCACATGACCTGACAATTGGGCATGAAACACTATTTGGTACCAATGGGTTTCCAGGTGGCTCTGGGGGATTTTCCAGCTGATATGACTACCACTCCGGTCAAAGCCCTGGCTGACCTCTGGAACATACAAATGGCTTGGACCATTGATTCTCCCACTTTGTGGAGCCTGTTTGGCTCTCTTGCATACTCCAGAGCTTAGAGCAAGAGAACAAGCTGAGATGGTTGAAACATGAGTGGAAGAAAACTCCAATACAATTCAATAAAACGCTGGTGAGGGCTCCTCATCAAGTCTACCTAGTGGCCACGAAGGCCTCTATTGCATCTGCATTGTGCCGTCTGAAAGAACATTTGTGTGTTCAGACCCAGAAACCTCCCCCCTAAATAAATTCACACTTGACTCAAATTTTGGTTTTGGTTTTTGGCAGAATTTAGGCCACAACTTTATTGATTACAGAAAGTGAATGGTTGCATAGGCTCTGGTTTGACTACCTCCCTGCCATGCAGGTAGTGCTGACCCAGGTCAGCCAAGGGTGAACACCTGGATAAACACCCAAATGTCACCCTCAGGCACGGGCACAACCCCCTCACAGGGGTTGACCAAACCATCGAGTCCCTGGATTCCTTTAATGAAATACCCTTCATATAGGGATGACGAGAGCATTCTCCCATCCCTATCACCTGAACCAGAGCCTATCCACAACCTTACAAGTTGTGACGATTTGCTATGCGGCAGGTGAAACCCAAATGGCAACAGCCAATCAGCCAAGTGAGGAAAATACCTGCCGTGCCCCTGTCCCAATGACAGATGACACGATGGCATAGCAAGGTCAAATGCAAAGCCCTAAAAGTAGGGAGAGATGGGCAGGTGTTCTGAATGCACGAGCTGAAAAAGGAAGCTCTGGGTCACATGCATGGGTATAAATAGGTCCTTCGAACTGTTTGGACTGCATTCCATTGGCCAGATTGCACCCAGCTATGAGGGACCTACCAATCGGGTGTTGTGGCTGACGAATCGTACCCACCCACAATACAGGGTGTCAGTTTCCAGGTCTCACCGCAATACATGCTCTCTTTATGGGAGGACCTGATTTCCAGGTAGTAAGGAGCGTTTTACAGTCTGGCCTCAAGGAAGTGGCAGAATTGATGGCAGCTTTCTGTGACTCATTTGCAAATCATTTTGAGGATTAAATTGCTTCTTGTGCATAGGTTTTCTCCTTTACTTGGGAGACACTCCTATTTAACTAACTGGGGCTTTGTTGTTGTTGTTGTTTAGTCGTTTAGTCCGACTCTTCGTGACCCCATGGACCAGAGCACGCCAGGCACTCCTGTCTTCCACTGCCTCCCGCAGTTTGGTCAAACTCATGCTGGTAGCTTCAAGAACACTGTCCAACCATCTCGTCCTCTGTCGTCCCCTTCTCCTTGTGCCCTCCATCTTTCCCAACATCAGGTTCTTTTCCAGGGACTCTTCTCTTCTCATGAGGTGGCCAAAGTATTGGAGCCTCAGCTTCAGGATCTGTCCTTCCAGTGAACACTCAGGGCTGATTTCCTTAAGAATGGAGAGGTTTGATCTTCTTGCAGTCCATGGGACTCTCAAGAGTCTCCTCCAGCACCATAATTCAAAAGCATCAATTCTTCGGCGATCAGCCTTCTTTATAGTCCAGCTCTCACTTCCATACATCACTACTGGGAAAACCATAGCTTTAACTATACAGACCTTTGTTGGCAAGGTGATGTCTCTGCTTTTTAAGCTGGGGCTTACTTCTGAGCAAACATATGTAGAGCTGTACTGACAAATACTTTGGAGTGGGGATCAAATTCTATGAAATGTGAAGGACTTTCTTCCCTGCCCACACCCTTTGCAGCCTTCTGCTTCAACTACAATCTTCTTCTTCTTCTTCTTCTTCTTCTTCTTCTTCTTCTTCTTCTTCTTCTTCTTCTTCTTCTTATTTTAAAAAATGCTTTTGAGAGGGAAAATCCCTTTCTTTCCATTTTCTTTAATTAAAGCCAATCAATCACATGTGAATCAAAATTACCAGCTCACATAAACAGTAAAACTTTGCAGCTGGGAGATAATTTCTGCTAGCAGCAGGCAAAAAGGAAAAGGCGGGAGCATAGGTTTTGCTTTCAGATATTTTTGCAATGTGCTTTCTTTTACAGGTATTTCTCTGCAGGAAGAAAAGGAGGTGGGGGAGAACACTGGAATCAGCCTTATGGCTGTGTCTGCACCCTCCATTAGCACCACTGCAGTCTAGCAGAAAATGGAAGAAAAAGACCCGAAGGTACCTTGAACTTCTCAAGTCAATGATATTATGGCTCAGGAACCAGCAGCACAGGCATTGCTTCTGCTCCTGTACCGACTGTGGCACAATAATTGGGTAAGTCTCTGTTGTGTCTCCTGCAGCTTGCTTGCTCATAAATGTATTGGCCATGATGCACACACCTTGATTTTTGCATAGGCATGCCACCAGGTTTAAAGTAACATGAGGATTTGCAATGATGCACCTGTTTCATAGAATTGCAGGGTTTAGGGGAGCGTGACTGGTTTGGTTGCACTAGGCACGGAGCCTTGGGGACGCTGCCAGGGACACCACAAATTCAGCTAAAGGGGGCTGAATTTTGGTACTGCACAGGGTTCTACTGAAGCTTAAGACCCCAATATCCACCACTGTTGGAAAGGATCGTGAGTATCATCTATTCCAACCCAAGTTTCTCATTTTAACGGCTGCATTCTTTTAAACAGCATTATTTTATCCTGTGTTTGAATTATGCAAGCTCCTCTTTTAGTGTTTGCACAAGTGGTATTTTACACTTTGTAAATTTCTGATAAGTCTGTTTTTTGCATTGAGCGCTAAATAAAACATAAGAGCATAGGAAGAGCTTGCTGGATGAGGCCAATGGCCCATGTGGTCTAGCATCCTGTTATCACAGTGGCCAACCAGATTTCTGTGGAAAGCCTGCAAGCTGGACATGAGCGCAAGAACACTCTTCCTTCTTTAACGTCCCATGGCACCCTGCCTGATGTGCTCCCTGCATCAGGTTCCTCAGACTTAGGAAAAGGCACTTGTGGGGATCTTAGCTTTGGGTCTATAGGCCCTGGTGCTATGGGTGGATGTTCTATGGGCTCCTGTCTCATACCCTCCAAGGTCCTGATTTTGCAGCGACAGTCCCGGGATTACAAAAGCTACCCCAGTGTCTAATTTGATCCCAGAATGTCCCTATTTCCTCCGGCGGTGTTGCCGCCACCAAGTTCAGGGAGGGGGATGAGCCGGCACTTGTCCCGAGTGGCAGCTGCAGTTTCAAGGGAGAATCCTGTTGCCTCTCCATGGCTGCTACTGTTAGAATTCCTGCTCCAGGATTGCAGTCATGGGATTGTTGCCTTTCACATGATGGTATATGTTTTGACTCCACAAAGTGGGAAGGGATGGAGACAGGATGTTTGTGTTACTGTGTTCCGTGAAGTGGGACTATTGTCCTTTGTTCTTTCCTTTTGCTGTCTGATGCTAGAGAGAGAGGGAGCCATGTTGCAGTGCTCCGTGTGTGTTTCTATGTAAATAAAGTAGATTAGCCAAAATGCTGAGTTGCTGAAGTCTTTTACACGAATGGCGCAGACTCTGTGGATCCCTAAGTGTGCCGGTGTCTGTTGGCATCGGTCACTGTGATGTTCAGGCTGAAGAAAGCTTTTGTTGTTGTTTTTTTAATACATTTTTATTAATTTTCATTGATTATACATATATACAGTCTAGATTACATAAGTTGCATATAACATAGCTGTTACAAAAATCATATATATAGTACACAATTATTTATAGGCTCCGCCGAGCCTCGGACTTCCCTTCACTTTATTGATAAGTATCAGATAATTTCTAAAGTTACATGTTTTATCTCCTTTACATATTTGCCAAACACTGTTAGAGTTATTCTAACCCTGCCAGAGTCCTCAAAGTTCTATACTTATCTCTTATATACGTCAGATATTTATTCCAATTTTCATGAAACTTCTGGTCATCCTGGTCTCTTAGTCTTCCTGTTATTCTAGCTAGTTCAACATAATTTATCATCTTGTTCTGCCAGTCGTCTATAGTAGGTATTAATTCTGTTTTCCAGCTTTGGGCCAACATATTTCTAGCGGCCGTTGTGGCATATAGAAACAGATTTTTATCCTCTTTTTTAATTTCCTTGCCAACTATTCCTAGCAGGAAAGCTTCAGGCTTTTTGGGAAAAGTATATTTAAAAATCCTTTTAAGCTCATTGTAGATCAGTTCCCAAAAGCCTTTTACTTTCCTGCATGTCCACCACATGTGGTAGAACTCACCATCTTCCTCTCCACATTTCCAGCACTTCTTATTCTTCAGTTTGTAAATCTTAGCCAATTTCACTGGTGTGAGATACCACCTATGAATCATCTTCCAGAGATTCTCCCTTAATGCCGTACACGCCGTGAATTTCATATTTACATTCCACAATTCCTGCCACTTTACAAAGTCAATGTTGTAACCAATGTCTATGGCCCATTTTATCATAGCCTCCTTCACCTCTTCATCTTTTGTATACCAATCCAGTAAAAGGTCATACATCCTAGATAATGTTTTGTTTTTGCCTTCAATAATTTCTACATTAAATTTAGATTTTTATCTTCAAATCCCAGTTTCTTTTTATCATCTTTTAACAGATCATTCACTTGATGGTATTGCAACCATCCCGTAAGTACATTCTTTACCTCCTCATAGGGCTTGAGTTTTATGCCCTGATCAGTTTTATTGATAAGTTCTTCATAGGTGGCTCTTTTCCCTTCCATATTAGTTTTTTAACAGTTAAGACATCAATTGGTGAGATCCACCATGGAGTTTTCTTTTCCAGCAAGTTCTTATTTCTTTCCCATACTTGAAATAATGATCCTCTGATTATATGATTTAGAAAGCCTCTATGAACTTTCACCTTTTCGTACCACAGGTACGAGTGCCACCCGTACCTGTTATCAAAGCCCTCTAAATCCAAGATATCAGTATTCTCTAACTTTATCCAGTCTTTCACCCACATTAAACAAGCCGCTTCATAGTATAGACTCAAATCTGGTAAAGAAAAACCCCCTCTTTCTTTTTGTCTACCAATATTTTCATTTTTATTCGTGGTCTTTTCCCCTGCCAGATAAATCTCGCTAAGATCCTTTGCCAATCTTTACACTGTTTTAGTCCTTTCATTACTGGTATAGTTTGGAACAAAAATAACATTCTGGGCAGGACATTCATTTTAATAACCGAGATCCTCCCTAAGAAAGAAAGTTTCAATCTCTCCCAGATTTCTAAGTCTTTCTTGACACCCTTCCAAGTAGCCTCATAATTATCTTTATATAAGTTTATATTTTTGCTGTGATCCACACTCCTAAATATTTTACCTTCTTAACAACCGTAATTCCTGTCCTTTGTTCTAGCTCTGCTATCTCTTCCTTGGTAATAATTTTTGTTATCATTTTGGTCTTATTCCTGTTAAGCTTAAAACCTGCCACTTTTCCAAATTCTTCTAATTTCTGTAAGGCTGCTTGTAGACTGTTCTTAGGATCTTCCAATGTTAATATCAAGTCATCTGCAAATGCTTTTATTTTGAATTCCTTACTTCCTACCTTAATTCCTTTAACTTCCGGTGTTTCCCTTAACCTTTTATTAAACACTTCCAACACTGTTATAAATAACAAAGGGGATAAAGGACAACCTTGCCTAGTCCCTTTGGCAATATCAAAGGCCTCCGATATATTGTTATTTATTATAAGTTTGGCATTTTGCTCTTGATAAATTGCGTCAATACCTTTTCTAAATCCTTCACCAATTCCCATCATTTTTAAATTTTCCTTCATGAAACGCCAGGAGACGTTGTCAAATGCCTTCTCGGCGTCAATGAAGATCAGCGCCGCCTGTTTGTCTATTCTAGTATCCAAATACTCAATGATGTCAATCACATTTCTTATGTTGTCTTTCAGTTGTCTCCCCGGGAGGAAACCCGTTTGGTCTTTATGGATTCTTTTATTTAAGACTTTTTTTAACCTTTCTGCCAGTACGTCTGCGAATAATTTATAGTCGTTATTTAGTAACGAAATAGGTCTATAATTTTTTACCTCTAAACCATCTGTGTCTTTTTTAGGGATTAAGGTAATATACGCTTCTTTCCAGGTGTTTGGAATTCTCCCTTCTTTTAATACATTGTTCATGACTTCACATAGCACTGGGGAAATTTGGTCACTTAATATTTTATAATATTTAGCCGAGATACCATCTGGCCCCGGCGCTTTTCCTATTCTCATTTTTTTATTGCTTTCCTAATTTCTTCCTCTGTAATTGTCTGGTTTAGATATTCTCTTTCTTCAGTCGTGATCTGTTGCAATTGGTATTTTTTCAAGTAATTTTCTATCTCATTATCTATCTCTCTTTCTCTTTTATATAGTTCCTTATAGTATTTCTGAAATATCTTCTTTATCTCTTTTGGGTCCTCCACTATCCTTTCTCCATCCCTTATCTTACATATCATGTTTGTTTTTCCTCTCTCTCAATTGCCACGCCAGGTATTTTCCTATCTTATTTGCTGATTCAAAGTTCTTTTGTTTCATCATTTTGATCCTCCATTCAATCTCCTGGTTCACTATCATAGAAAATTGAGCTTGTAGCATCCTTATGTTTTGTTTTAATATTTCATCTCCTGGTTTGATGGTTAATTGTCTTTCATTCTCCATAAGGTGTAGTAAGATTTCTTCTTTCCTTTTCTCTTTTATCTTTTTGAGATGCTATTTTTCTGAATAAGAAAACCCCTCATGACAGCCTTCCCGGCATCCCACACCGTTTCTAGAGATGTTTCTTTATTCAAATTCCACTTAAAATATTCCTCAATTGTCTCTTTTGCTTTATTTGCTATCTTTTGATCATTGAATAGGTTTTCGTTCATTCTCCATCTTAATGTTCTGAAATCTTTTCCTTTTACCTCCATATATACTGGATTATGATCAGATAAAGTTTGTGGGAGGATTTCAGTCTTAATTACTCTTTGCGTCAATTCCTTCGAGACCCAAATATGATCTATTCTCCCCAGCTTTGATTTGGGTTTGAAAAAAGTGAATTGTTTTATCGTGGGGTTTTTAAATCTCCAAGCGTCAATTAATCCCAAATTTTCCACTAATTCGAAGAAGGCTTTCGGTAATTTGCCCTCCCTCATTTCCTGTTTTCTTATTGATCTATCCAAATTTGGGAGAACCACTCCATTAAAGTCCCCCATCAATATCATTTGTTGGTCCATCCATTCTAACAATTTGTTACCTAGTTCAGAATAAAATGCTGATTTTTTGTCATTGGGTGCATATATCCCTACCACGATTATCTTTTCTCCTTGGTGGGTGATCTGTACTACTATCGTTCTCCCCTCTTCGTCTTTATGTATTAATTTTGGATCAAATTTTTCTTTTATATATAGTACCACTCCTCTTTTCTTGACATTATCCGATGCTACAAAGTCCAACCCCAATCTCTTATTACTTAAAATTCTTTTATGTTTTTTGTTACATGGGTTTCTTGCAGACAGATTATGTCAAGGTTCTTTTTAAGCAATACATGAGCAATTTGGTTTCTTTTATTTTTATTATTGAGCCCGTTCACATTCCACGAGGTTATTTTTAAGGTCATTTTTAATGTACAATCAGTAAGTGGTCAAATCTAGGTTAGGTCTACTGTTCCTTGTTATCTGTCTCTTCCTCTTCTTTTTCTTCGTCTAGGTTTTCCTCCTCTTCTCCCTCTCCACTTTCTTCACCTCCACCCCTCTCTTCCCCCATCTGCGCCCCTTCTGGATCCCCCCCTCCCAACCTTCCCAGTTCCTTCTCATATCTTCTTGCAAATTTATCCAATTCCAGAGAGCTGGATAGTTTGAATCTTTTTTCCTTGAAATAGAATGAAATCCCTTCCGGGAACTCCCATCTATATTGGATCCCTATCTTCTTCAATTGGTTAGTTAGTTTTTTATAAACATCTCTCTTACGAAGAAATCTCGAAGGAATCTCTTTAAATATAATAATTGGCTTTCCCTCAATACATAATTTTTGATTATAGTTTAACTTTAGTATTTCATTTCTCATATCCAGAGAGTTAAACATGACCAGGACATCTCCTGGCAGTTTCTTCCCTCTGGCTTTGGCTGATTTTGTTTTTATCCGAAAAATATTTGCAACTGAGTATCCTATGTCCTCTTCCTTCATATCTAACCAAACTGCCAATTCTCTAACCAGTTTAGATCGTATGTTTTCATTAGGTTCCTCAGGGATCCCCTAAATTTCAGGTTTGATTGTTTCTGTCTCATTTGAGTCATCGCCACACTATCCAGTAACTCTTCCTGTATTTTATTTATCTCCTTCACCTCTGTCTTAATCCTATCCATATCTTTCTTATTTTCTTTAGTATCTTTTTGAACCCTTTTCATTGAGTCTTCAAGTACTTTGGATCTTAGAGATAAATCTTTTACTTTTCCTGTTAACTCTCCCACCACCCCTTCTAATCTCTTATTCAATGAATCTTGTACTTCCAGTAATTTTTCTCGATATATTGTTCGTTATGTTTAAACTCTTTCCTTATTTCAGCCATCAAATTATCATAGTCCTTAATTTCTTTCCCCTCTTTCCCATTTTCTTGTCTGGATGGTCTCCTTTCAGCAGGCGTTCCCACCCCCTTCTTCATTTTGTATTTCTATTAGTCTTAATTAACTAAAATAAAAAAGAAGAAGAAGAAGAAGAAGAAAGTAAGAGAAAAAGAGAAAAAGAAAGAAGAAAAGAGAGATTAAAAAAAAAAAGAGGCAAAAGAAGAAAAAGTTCTTTCCCACCCCTAGGGGTCGCTCAACTGTAATTTAGGAAATTTCTTTGTTTTCCCAGTATAGTACCTTTCTGGCCCCACACGGTGGCGCTTTACTTGCATTCACCCTTTTAAATCTTCAGTATGCAGTCTCTTTCCACTCACAGCTAGGGGGTCAGTTTGGTAGATCGTTTACAGTCGTTTACAGTCGTTTACAGTCACAAAAAGCAAATGAGAAGGAGAGAAAGTTCTCAGAATTTAGGTCCTAGAAGATAAATAAAATAGGAAACATCAAGACACGTAGGGGAGAAAAGGAAGTGGGGGAAAATCCGGCTCAATACTTTCCAGGAAATAGGGATGATGTGCTGGGCGGGTTTCAAAACCGGGGGGGGAGTCAAAGGTGAACCAAAAGATTATCACGGAGAGGCAGCAGGATCTAGCAGGATCGTAAAGTCTTGCCGAGGTACTGTGTTTAAATCTTCTTTCTTTCCTTTTATTTCGGCTTAGCCGTTTACTCCCCGTTTTCTGTAGTGGTAGGTTAAATATTTAAGGCGCCCAAATTATCTTCTCCTGGATGATTTACAGCTGTGTACCACTTTAAGAGGAAAGCGAGAAGTGGATCACACAATGGCGTCGGGAGGTTCCGCAAATTTCTCCTCTTACAGTTCACTTTCTACTCCCCAGCCTCTCGTCGTGTCCGCTCCTCTCAATAGCAAACTCAGCTTTCAGTCAATTAAGCACCAAATAATAAAGAGAAACAGTTTCAGCTTGAATCCATTATACAGGGGGAGGTATATACAGAATGCCGTAACTCAGCATAAAGTCTCACTTAAATATCCTAGACTGGGTGAAAAATTACCATCCCTTTCAGTCGCTGGCGTAGCGCGCTCCGACCAGGGTAGAGCAGAAATGTTTCTATCCGCTTTTCAAATATTCAGCTGTTTTCAATCAGTTCACTGCCTCAGAATTTTACACTTTGTATCTGAGGTCTCTCCGCCACGCCCACTCGGCAGTTACAGTCTCTCTCCCTCTCCTCTCCCAGTCTTCCGTTACACGCCCATTACTCTTACCGCAAAAGCAAATTCCTTCTTCTTTCATATCATAGTATCTTTGTTCCGCTGGTTTCTATAACTTAAATTCAGTCTGTTATTGTTTTGGTTGTAACCCAGCTTCTTAATTGTTGTTGGAGGCTTGCCGCTTTCACTCGGAGCCTGAGGCTTCACAACGCGAGGTCTGTTGCTTCCCTTTCATGCTGCAGCTCCGATCCTGTTCTCAAACTTGATTTAAAATGTCCGAAAAACAGGAGAGCACCGGCAGCACCGCCAGGTACCTGTCCCCCAAGATAATCCTCTTGGGGTTTCGAGGTCCACGGAGCCTTCGTGACACCTCTAGACCCCCGCGTTGTTCGAGACCCCCCCGGAGGGCAGCCTCGCGCTCCTTTCCTGTGGCTGC